AAACTTCTTTAAAAAACGTACTGATCCCAAACTTTTGAACGGCAGTGTATATGTAAGTTGATACCCCCCAATGTTCAAGACATGGTTGCGGCCTTGCGTAGACGTGTACTCTCCAGTCACGGCAGTCAATCACCACTCCAGATTAACGCATATACGTCACTTTTCGTGACGCAGGCTCAACTTTGCTTTTTGAACCGGAAGAACAAAATTGCTTTAAAAAAAATGAAAAAATAACCACTTTTGCCTTAATAATAGACATAATGAGTGCTGAAGTTGTTTTTACTGATGTGCAACCTGTTCATATATGTTAACATTTTAAAAAATGTGTTTTAGGGTTTCATGACACATTAACATTCTGACATGTCTTAGCATGTTGTTGGTATGGTTGCTAGCTTTAACATGTTTCAGATATGGGTGCGTCTCAATCAGGTGCTAGGCTTTTATAGTGATAGATAGATCAGAGAATGCTGGCTTTCTCAAGTCAACATAATAAAATGACACATCACATATTAGAAATGTTTCTCAGTTCTATTCTTAGCGATTAGTTCACCTGGTTTCGAGGTATCTGTCTGTCCTCGTTTGGCGCGGAGACAGTATTCCCAACGTACAGCAGGATCTTGGACAAAGTGAGCAATATGGCTGAACAGTTGGCTGAAGCTCATGTTTGTGGCATGGTATACAGTATAGTATAGCAGAGCGGCTCGCCACAGGAAGGGCTGTTTCCGTAGCAACACACTGTGAAGACTAGCAAGCCCCTCTTCAGTAGGATTAGCTGGTTTCAGTCCAAACCGCTTTCTCCCAACAGAAGTGGCCCATGGCTGCATGCTGTTATTCACACCCCGTAAGTAATGTGTGCCTGGGAGTGAAAGTCATAAAATTGCTGGAAGGGCAGGTTTTGCAGACAAAAGACTATACAATTAACATCAAGAATGGTCAGTTATCAACTAGATTCAACCAGAAGGATGTCAATACAATATTTCTTGTATAGCAAGATCAATGTCGTAACCAGCTGTGACCCAGCAAAATCAAGTGCTTTGCCCGCCTAGACCAAATGCAAAAATGCTACATAATGTGACACAATAACAGCCAATCAGAACATAAATTATATTTAATATACAATCTAGAGTTCTGCAGGTGACATATTTTTGCAGGCCAGAACACGAAAATCCATCATCCTACAATCAATGTTTTTTTAATGCATTTTTGGCTAAATGAAAGGTCTGTGGTTAACACAAGCTCTTTTTTTACATTTTATTCTATGACATAAAATACATCAGTAATACACCCTTTGAGATTTTTTTAAGCCTTTACTTGTCTTGAATATGGTAGTTGCTTACTAGTATCTAAAATGGGACTACAGAAGTTGTCGGGGACATTAAACGACATCTTGCTAAACAGGAAAGCTCAACTACTCACTAGTTTCACAGCCTCCTATTTATAATCACATTCTTGCCAACTCATACTTTGAGGGAAGATGTGTTTTAAATAAAGACTTAGAGTTTTCAGAAGCTTAATGGTGGTGACGTTGAAGTCTTGCAACAGTGATATAGTTTGTTTATTGCCTACATTTAGCGTTTAACGTGTACGAATCATAAACTTTTGTTGGTCACAGAGCTTATTTTCTGCCATAATCCAAAAGCCAGTGGAAAATCCTATTGGATTTTTGTCAAGGAAAACAGGGTGATGCAAACATCTGGGCTGGCCTACAGAAAAACATCATCACAACAGCACTGCATTATGTCAAGCAGCATTTTGTACCAAATAGATTTTACTATATGCAGGGCTACCTAGTACTACACAACAGCAATACGAATGAAATGACTGAAAAAAAATGCCCTGTTGTTTGTTACTTGTCACAGTCTGGACAAAATATTTACAAATCTGTTTAGTATTAGTGTTTAATTTATAGTTTGAAGTGTGTTAAAGTTCATACCAATCTCATGTCTAAGCATGCCCTCAAGCCAATGTTGCCGTGCTCCTGACAAGTTAATAGTTAGTGTTGGTCGACATCTCTCCACCATCATTACTGCCTGGGACAGAAGCTCATCAGAGAGACTTACAACCACCTGGTGACAGAATTTGAAATTACTATTCCTTTGTTATTTGGCAAAACACTAATGCCCCGACACTTAAACTCCGATATCCACACACCTCACCGACACAGCCCTCCTTCTGTAGGTACTTGCGTGAGGCTGCCCACACTTGACTCTTCGGTAGCAAGCTGCCCCCTGTGACTTCTTCAAAGTTTTCATAGGTCTCATACTTCCTCAACACACACTCCATAATCCCAACTGCCTAGAAAAAGGCATGAGGTGAGACAAATGGCAATAGTTTCAGGACTTAAACAACACTATGGCTGTGTTCCAAACAGGCGTATTCTAGTGAATTAAAATTAAAACAAAAAAAATAATAAAACCATATATTTGTTACTTTAAATAAATAGACATTAACTGGAATAAAATATTTTGAAAAAGCAAACTTACTTTATTTCAGCTGGTTGCTAAGCAAGCATTTCATTTAGTTTAACTTTAAGTACTAAAATAACAAATACTGAAATAAAAAATAATAAAAACTATATAGACATATTAAAAAACTAATAAAAATTACAAAACCACACATCAAAATTACTAAAACTTTAAAATGAAAAGAAAAAATGTAAAAATAAAAACTAATTTATTTTTTTTTTGGTTTATTATAAATGTAGCAATAAAACCTGCTTGCACTGTTTCTATGGAGCTGAAGGTGGAGCCTGACAGCACAATGGAAGGGGCTCGTCCTGTTAGTCACCTCATGACAACAGCAGATCTGTCCAATAAAATGTCTTTTTTTCACAATCCAGGCTTCCTTTTGAACATTTTTAAAAACTTCTTGATGTTCTTCATATTCTAAAGATAATGATAGCAAGGGGGTTACTAATTAGCCCCTGCTTCGTGTGTGTGTGTGTGTGTGGAAGTGGAAGCTATTGGGGAGTGAGGGCAAATGAGATGGGCAGTGAGTATATAGGAGTCAACTTGGAGTGTTTTGACTGGTTGCTTGTGTGATTTGGTACTTCTCCCTCACGTTCCGCCGTCTCTGGTGATCAGTAGTTACTTCTAATGTATTCTCTGCTGGAAACCATCCCTTCTCTCCATCAGAGAGACGCATGCCTTCATACCAACCTTGACGAGCAAAATGGAAATCAATTTTAGTTTTGAGAATTACAAAAAAAAATTTAAGTCATTTTATTTTAACTGTACCTTCACTGGTTTTGCGCAGCACATTGATGACATCAGATGGCTCCAAGCTAAGCTCATCTGCCTGTTTTGCCACATACTGACTGACACACTGCACTTGAGGACAGTCTGATTGACAAACAGACACACACACACACACACAAAATGAAACTCATTGTATAGCAGGATAAACTGTATCATAGAGACCTTATCCAGAATATAATTGCGGAAGCGTCCTCTAAGTGTATTTTTTTATTTATTTTTTATTTATTTATTTTTATTTATTTATTTTTTTTTTTTATGTGTTTTGTTTTTGTTTTGTTTTGATTTTATTTTTTTATTTATTTATTTATTTATTTATTTATTTATTTATTTATTTATTTATTTATTTATTTATTTATTTATTTTTTTTATGTGTTTTGTTTTTGTTTTGTTTTGATTTTATTTTTTTATTTATTTATTTTTTATAAATGTGTTTTGTTTTTGTTTTGTTTTGTGCTTTGATCAGAATATAAAATCGTATTTTAGAGGCGGAGCATCTAAAGCATCCCAGGATGCGTTTCATGAAGTTGGCTGATTGAATCTCTATAGAGTGAGCAGAATCAGACAAAGAAACCTAAATGTGAGTGTATTTAGTTTAGTTTATTTTATTTTTTATTTTTATATTGTTTTTATTTATTAATTTTTTTATGTGTTTTGTTTTTGTTTCGTTTTGTGTTTTGATCAGAATATGAAAACGTATTTTAGAGGCGGAGCATCTAAAGCATCCCAGGATGCGTTTCATGAAGTTGGCTGATTGAATCTCTATAGAGAGAGCAGAATCGGACAAAGAAACTTAAAAATAAGTGTTTATTTTTTTGTTTTTGCTTTGCTTTGTTTGAGTATTATTATTTGTGTGTGTGTGTGTGTGTTTTGTACACATACATAATTTTGAGGACTTTTATATGACTTTTTTTGTTTACTATCTTTATTTAACATTTTAGTATATTGAACAGTGAGTAGTTGTGTAAATTTTTGACATCACAGCTACTGCCGGATTTCAGTGTTTATCTGTACAACTATTACACTGCTCTGCTCTCTGAAATACTTGCTCAGTCATTCTGCAGTCAAAGCAAGAAATATTGCTATTGATTTTTATCCACTGATTTGATTGCCTTGTGAAAAGTAGGCTATTATATTATTGGGTAATATTGTTTTTCCCCACCCACACAGCCTTGAAATAAAAACAGAAATGAAAACTAATTTTAGAGGCAGAGAATTTTCAGAATAATTTCTACTGATCAATTTAGATTTCATGTCGTCTAACCATGCAATATCACTCTCAGTTTAAAGGATTTGACCCGCACCACCTGTGTGTCGCTACACTGTTATTTGAGGGGGATCGTGGGAAGGTTTTGCAGCACGAGAAACAGGTTTACGACATCGCAGCTAAGTTTGGGTAAGAAATGGCTCATTTTTGTTTGTTCTTCTAATCTGTGCTGTTTCTATGGAACCAGAGTTACTGTTTCACCAGTAAAGGTCCTAAGGGTCGTGACCCCGACCTTAACTGATCTCACCGATTGTATAAAGAAGCACTAGCGTTTGTCTCTGTCTTTTCATTCTCCCTCATTCATCACGGCTCTTTCAGTGGCAGTGATGGGTGTGTGAGGAGAAGAGTGAACAGATTGAATGATTTCTGCATTAAAGCTTATGTTGATTTTGAGAATATTTAATTAGAGGCTGATTGTGATGGATAGAAGAGAATCCCACAGCTCACCTTATTGATCCGCTGCTTGTGTGTGAGTGTGTGTGACTGTGTGTGAGTGTGTGTGAGTGAGTGTGTGTGTGTGTGTGTGTGTGTGTCTTCATGCAGGAAATATTCACCGGACCACAAATGCCTCATGATTTTTCTTTGGCAACATTGACTGTGCTGATAATATATATATTTCCCCTTTGCTTCCCAGTGACCTGTACTCTGTTTTGTTACTGTGTGTGTGTGTGTGTTGTAGGGGTCTAGCAGCAGGAGAGGATAACGGTCAGAGGGGTTACATGCTGACGTTTGTCATCGCGTATCTGCGGGTGTGTTATGAAACTCCTCACACTGATTTACTCTCCTTAATTACAACAGACTTCAAACGACCCAAAAATGCACCTTCATAAAACTTATTTTTTATGTCTAACCCTAAATGTGTGTTTTAATGGCATTGGTTCAGTTTGGGTTCAGTAAGATTTTTTTAAGGAAAGAAATGAATACTTTATTCAGCAAGGACACATTAAATTGATCAAAAGTGCCAGCAGTGACATTCATAGTGTTGCAAAAGTTTATATTTAAAATAAATGCAGTTCTATTGAACTTTCTATTCATTAAAAAATCCTGAAAAAAAAATATTAAGAATTGGTAACATTGATAATAATCAGAAATGTTTCTTGAGCAGCAAATCAGCATATTAGAATGATTTCTGAAGGATCATGTGACACTGAAGACTGGAGTAATGATGCTAAAAATTCAGCTTTGCATCAAAGGAATACATTATATTTTACTATATATTAAGATTAAAAAATATGTATTATTTATTTATTATAAATGTATTATTATTATTTTAAATTGTAACAAATAAAATAAAATTTAACAAATAAATGCATCTTTGGTGAACAATAGAATACATTACAAAAAACATCTGTGTGTATGTGTGCAGGATTTGGGAATGGACTACTATGTGATCGGAGAGTCGTTTGAGACGTCTGTGCCGTGGGACAGGTAAATGCTCAGTGCGATGCTTTGCCCTGTGCACTTTCTGTTTGTCGCCCACTGCTGCCCACACTCTTAGACACTTCTGTTGTCTCTGTCTGAATGGTTTGGTGGAGGTGGGAAGGTTTGAAGGGCACAAAGCCAAAGAAAAAACTTGAACTCCCACAGAGACACAGAAACTTTCAGACTTCATGTGAACCTGAAATTCTGGCTCTTAGTATTAACACAGATTATGAACTAAAAGCAGTCAAGTGTGCAACATACATGTGAACCCAATACAATTTAAAAACATCCCAAGACTCATCTCATGAAGTTGGTTGAGTGAATGTTTAGAGTGAGAAGAAAAGACAAAAAGCTCAAATGTAAGCGTGTTTTACATATTTGTTTTATTTTGTGTGTTGTGCTATTATACTGGGTTTTTTTTGTGCTGTTTATTTATTTAGTTATTTAATAGTCTTAATAACTTTAATAATTTCACTATTTTGAATGTTAGTAATAGTAAAGAGTGAATAGGTGGGTTAATTTTTGGCCACTTCTGTATTATTCAGTATTTGTCTTTTTTTGTCTCTCTTTCAGGGTTTTGGACTTGTGCAGGAATGTGAAGGAGAGGATTGTAAGAGAGTGTAAGGAGAGAGGAGTACAGTTCCCTCCGCTCTCCACATGCAGGTACACACACACACACACACACACACACACACACACATACTCACACACACAAACACACACACACACACACACACACACACACACACACACACATCTATCTTTCTGACCTTTGACATGCTGTCCATAAATAAGCACCTAGCAATCATCTGGAATATTAACATATAGTGTTATGTTTAATAAATTACCCACAAGGCCATAGCAATGTTGGTGGCAACTTCAGTTAATTGTAAAAATCTAGTTTGACGCAATTTGTTATATTGAATAGTGAACGCTGTTCATTCTGATCTCACCTTTACCGTCACACACACAGAAAAAGAGGGAGATTTGGACTGAAGTGCATTTCTCAGTCATTCATTTCCTGTCTTTGGCTATCCAGCTGCGTGTGACATGATTGATGTGGCCATTTAACCTCTGCAAAATCAGATAACACAAACTCACAGCCCTTAAACTTTCACTGTCTCAAAGTCAAGCGTCACAAAGGCAGGCCCGGGATAGAATGCATGTCAATGTCCCTCTCTTTCTTTTTGTGTCTTTCTGTGGGCATGAAAGATCCCGCAGAAGCCGTAAATCTGATTTAGCAGGAAGGCCGTTAAGATAACTGATTATAGAAACATCAAACTCTACTGATCCTCTTGGAAATCAGTGATTAGAGGTGTGTATACCAGCAGAAACATAGAAAACTAAATGAAATTGAGCAAAAATTGATTTCTAGTTTAATTTCAATTTTTAGATTTGACTTTTTGTCTTCCTTGGTCAAATAAAATCTATATTTTGTAATATATTTGTATCATGATTGTGAAAATGAACTGTACAATTTATTGTGCATGCTTTTTTTGTACCATTGATGGAGAATGGCTATAAATCTTGCCAGAAATTAACAACTAACTGATGTATAATAATGTAACTAGCTACATTTTGTCCAGCTTCTTCGTTTCTAGGAAACCCAACAACTTGAAATCAGTGCATAGATTTTGTGTAATGTACATAATTATGTAATCATTGTACACGATTATATAAATGTACATAATTATATAAAGTGCGCTCAGTATTTTTAATAAAAAGGTAAATTAAAAATAATTTTAAGACAACAGATATTTTAAAATATTAAATATATTAAAAAAAAAATAATCATGGCTGACTGCTAATGGCACATTTCTGCATCGGTAACTGGAAAAAATAACACTGTTGCATGATGCTACATCCACACCACTAGGTGTCAGTATAAGCTGACGGCATATCGGCCAGTGCAATATAACAAAATGTTGCTGAGTGCATCTTTAAGTAGGAACTTCCCAGAAGAACTTGGAATCATTGTAACTTGATTTAAAAAAAAAAATCTGTTTCCCTCTTTCTAGAGTTACACAGACGTATGACGCAGGTGCTTGTGTGTATTTCTATTTTGCCTTTAATTACCGGGGTCTGAGTGATCCTGTTCACGTCTACGAACAAGTGGAGGTAAGTACAGTATTGAGTATTCCTCAGTATTCACCTGTGAATATATTTCTCAGTTTTAAAGCCGTCAAAATATACTGTTTCAGCTGTAGGTTTCGTGGACTTCTGTTAAATTTAAAACAAATAATTGGTTCCATTTTTAGGCTTGAAATAAGTGGATATTGAGAATTTGTTTCTTTTTTTTCGCATTTGTTATGTAGCATGCAGCCCGGGAGGAGATTCTGGCCAACGGAGGAAGTCTGTCTCACCACCATGGAGGTGAATTTCATCACACATCACCTGAAATAAATGAATATATTCACTCACTCTGATCTCTACTGAACAGAACATATATAGTACTCGGCCTCTAGACTCAGCAATTCAGCTTTTTAGAGAATTGCAGCGTTTGGGGCAGTGGTTTGTCCTGGTTTATTGGATCTGAAACACATGACTTATCTACATTACCATCCGCCTGCTGCTAGCTAAACATCACCACACTCATTAATCACAGCCACACACACACACACACACACACACACTTTTATATTGCAAAGAAGAGAGAAAATGACGTGCAGGTGATTTTTAAGTTTTGGATGAACTATACTTTTAAAATGAGAGAGGAAATGGTGAGCTGATATTTATAAAGTTTCCTGACTGCGATCTAAATGAAAGAAAGCCATGCTGTGTGTGTGTGTGTCCTGGGGGAGTTCTGTGTAATTGTGATTAATAGCTGTACTGCGGTACTATCTGCCTGCCGACAGGCCCTTTTGTCTACACACAATCACAGCATGACAAATGAAGTGTGTGCGTGTGTATCTGGAAAAACAGATGTAGTCTGGGCTTGCGAGGTGGGAGGGCGCAGGAGAGAAAGGCACAGTTTACTAACCTGTGTTTACTGCAGGTCAGAGCTGTGAATGCATCCAAGCACATTTGCCAGACCTCCACTCGCTTTAAACACAAGCGCACACCGTTTCTTTGTTACACGTTGGCCGTGTGTACACATATCTAAGCAAACTAAACCAATAAAAAGATGCCATTTGCACTTTAAAAGGACGTTGTTAAACAGATAAACGGTTAAAATAGATTTGCTGCTCTGTTAGAGATAGAGTTAAAAAGAGACCGCACACACAGCCTTTAGGGAGAGCAAGATGGAGAATGGAAAGAAGTAACGATTTCTGATTCATTAATGAGTCATTTTTTAACTGACTCCTTTTCAATGATTTGGTCAAACCAATTTGCAACGCATTTGTCATCTGACTGTATAACTTTGGTAGGAAGTGGCTGTCATATTGAAAATATTGACAAAACAACACTGGACGCAATCGATGTAAACTAGTTAATGTTTAATACTTAACACTATGGATTTGTTAAAACAAGTAACCCTGGCAAACATAACTAACTAAACATTTATTTCACTACAAAAATTGTTTGTTCGTTTAAAAATTGCTCAAATGAATCAGTGAATCATTTGTAAGCAGTTCATTGAATTGAACGGTTCAAACTAAACGAGCAACCCTACCAACAGAAGTAACTGAACATTTGTCACTACAAAAATTAAGGGCTTCTGAGGACTTTTTAAAAGTAATGACTCAAATGAATCAATTAATCATTTGTGTATTTCAGCTGTTCATTGAAGTGAACTGTCCAAATGAACCTAGCAACCTTATCAAACAGAACTAACTAAACATTTATTTCACTACAAAAAAATGGCTTCGTAAAATATTTTGGAAGTAATGACTCAAATAATTCAGTGAATCATTTGTTTGTTTGTTTACTTTGTGTTCATTGAAATTAAACAACCAAGCGTACCTAGCAAACAGAACTAATAAAAATTTAACTACAAAAAAGAAGGGCTTCCGAGAACATTTTGAAAGTAATGATTCATGAATCATTTGTGAGTTTTGAAATGAACTGTCTAAACGAACAGATTCACTAAAGTGAATAAAACATTCCAGCGCTCACCAGAACATCTATCACCTCTGCTGCCCATCATCTCTAGTAGTAGTGATATGTTTTAGACTAATGTGACCGCTACGAAGTACAACATTTTATTTTTTTTGGTGCCGTGACCCGGATTCTAAGAATTCTTGTTGGACTTCGCTGCAGGAGTTTTGTTTTTCGGGTTTGTTTGTTTGGCACCAGGCAGACATGCTTAAAGATTTCTTCTGAGCTGATCCTAGAGCACAGCATGTGTAAACGCACGCCTGAGGATAGCGTAGGAGTACGAACAGCATGTGCGTGTTTGTGCAGGTGAAGACCAGGGGTTATAGGGGAAATGAGTGCATCAGCCCTAAACACACTCAGACCACTTCCGCTTTATTCAGCCATTATTGGACACACACATCTATGCTTTTGTCTCTGGCTTGATTTTTTTTGCATGTCTCAGCTGTGTGAAAGTGGTTATGAGAGATGAATAGTGACAGGATAGTGATGGAAAGAGAGCGCGGGAATATGGGCTGATGGTGAGATGATAGATGTGTAAATTATCTCCGTGATGGAGGCAATGATGCAGTCATGCCTCCTTCTGTTTCTGTCTGCCGCCCAGCAGAGACACAAATACACCACTGGGGGTTTGAGGAGGGGCCAATGTGCTCCCCTCCTGATTGGCTTGCTGTGTGTTCGGTGGGCCGGCCGTCTGTTCTTTCATGCAAGATGACTGGCTCTGTCGCCGCAAGACCTATTTGCATATGTATGAGAGAGTCCCAGATTGGGGTGTTGCTAATAGCGAGCTGCCCTTGCCCCAAACCCCGCCTCCTTCTCAAACAGTAACGTATTATGACGAAATGCCGTCTGCTCGCTTATCAATCATATTAAACGTGTGAGACAGAAAGAGAGAGGAGACGGGGACATCAAGGTTCCCTAAACTGCTGCTCTCACAAACAATATGTTGTGTGGTTTTATATTAACCGAACACTCATAAAGGACATATCATTGTTTTAATGATGTGGGAAAGAAATCATTATTATATTATATTATATTATATTATATTCTTGTTGGAAATTGGTTTTAGTTTTTATTATCCGTTAAGAGAATTTCAAGTGTGACTTTTGCTGATAAAACCGATTATTATTAATTTGATTTTTTTTTTTTATGTAAATGTATCTGCATTGGATGATACTGGATTATTGTTTATGCTCATTTCCCCTATTTTTGTATTTAAATTACTTTTTCCTTCATCTAACACTTAAAGTTCACAATAATTGTATAATAATGATGTAGTAATAATAACAACAACAATAGTAATAATGACTTGATAATTTAATGATGATTTAATAATAATGATTTAATAGTCTTTAATAACACTGTTTAATGTAATTTTTAACAAATCTTGAAATTAATATCCATTTTCAAACTAAAATATAATATTGGGATGCCTAAATTCTCTTGAAGCGTTTAAATCGAGTGTTTTATTTATTAATTAATTTATTTTTAACAAATTTGTGTAGAATTTGAATATCAGCCATTTATTGGTCACAACTTATTAGCTTATAGGTTTTAATATCGTGATTAATAGAGTTATGCTCAGAACAGCACCCTGGCAGCTACCCACGATTCATTGTATTCATTTATTTTATGATTTGAGTGTCATACAAATTTTTTGAATTGTGGTTACAAGTAGTTTTGATATGTTGTTTGGTATTGCTTTATTTTTTAATGATTCTTTTTTTGGTAAAGTTGTGTGATCATTTAGTTGACGTTGATGTATGTTGGGTGGAAGCTTGTGGTATTTAGTCTGAAGACGAGAGAAGCAGACAAACAGACAGACAGAGGAAGAGTTTCTCTCTCTCCGCTGGGAGCGCAGGCAGCTTAATGAGTTTGATAGTCTGCTGCTCTCCATAAATCACATCATGCAAAACATCTCAGCGTTTCAGCAGTGCCGCCCACCCCACAACATCCATCATCCACTGCTTACAGCCGCTCGCACACGAGAGCCATTCACATCCTGCTGTCTGCCACACACGTCTGCTCAATCCCTCTCTCTCTCTCTCTCTCTCTCTCTCTCACAGTGGGAAAACTCCGGAAGGAATGGATGAAAGAGAGCGTGTCCAGCGTGGGGCTCGGCATGCTCAAGTCGGTGAAGGAGTATGTGGACCCCCAGAACGTTTTTGGCAACAGAAACCTGTTGTGATTCACTAACATTCTGTATCCGCACATTTTCTATCATCATCTAGTCATATTTGATTTGAACTTCATATAGTCCTGTCTTTTTCTTGGTGTGTGTGCGCACAGTAATACGATAAACCACTTCTCTGTTTCCCATTAACTCGGTCCTCTTGCGTTATTGTCACCTTTGACCTTATCTTTAGTGAGGTGGTCACGTGACTTCAGTTCTCGGCGGTCTTCCTGATTGAACAGGTTTTTGATACTGTAACGTCTGGATGCTTCTGTGTCTGGCACTACATGTTGTGTTTGGGACATTAGCAGTAACTGAATTATGCTTTTAAAAGCTGTGCCTTCTGTCCGTCTGTCTTCCACTCCTCTTTCTGAGTGGCTAAACGTTTACTGTCTTTTATCCTCTCTTCCTTACTGTACTTTTGCCTTTTCTATGTCGCCTGTCAAACTAGGTGTATTATAATTTTTGGGTGAATCTCATAAAAGAAATGTTCTATTTGTATATGAACAAAATACATAAAGACAATGGAGCCAGTTTTTTTGGCCCATTAAGACCACTTAAAAATCTGCACAATTTCCCACCAAATCTCACTGGAGTAACATATATAAAAATCGTACAGTAATTAAAATTATTAAAATTATTCATATTACAAAAAATGAAAATGGGGGAATATGCTTAGCTGTAATAAAAAAATCTGTCTCAACTAAAAATAAATGCTTCAAAATTCTAAATTTTCTTGACGCAAAATATATTTTTTACACTTTATAATAAGGTTGTATTCACTAACATTAGTTAATGCAATATTGACATGAACAAACAATGAACAATACAGATATTATTATAAATTAATTTCCACATATACATTTTAACTTCATTTTAACTGAGATGTATGTGTATTTTAAATATGTATGTGTGTGTATGTATATATTGACAGATATAGATATATACAGATATATCTATCTATATAAATACAGACCCCCCCCCCCATGCATTAACTAATCTATGTGACCCAACTTATTGTAAAGTGTTACTTTTTTCTCTCTCTCTTATGGAGATGGAATATGATCTGGACATTTTTGTGAGATTTATCCTTTTAAGAGGTGCAGTTTGTGTATTGAGCCAGATCTGATGAAAGCTCCCCCTGTAACTGGGGTTTAACAGAGATGTTGTCTTCAAGCTTGTGGTCTGGCTGACAGAGGTTTTGGACGGAGTGGATTTGGTTTGGCTTGATCATCTGAATGATCTGCATCAAATGTCTCCTTGTGTTTCTACCAAAGACTGTCAGCATCTCTTCAGCCACACACATCTGTTCGTCCTGTATATAAACATGGTTTGAAGAGTATGTTCACCGAAGATCCATCATGATAAATTGTATTTTTTTTAACACAACATATGCAAAAAGCCAGAGATGATCTGAACTGGGATCTAAAACATTATATGCGACTGTTACATCATTCGATTTGTATGCATTCAACATTGAGGGAAAATAAGTGTGGCTTACCTTATCTGTTGTCAGTTTGCACAAGTGGTTTGACTTGTGTATGTAGGAGATGCTTGCTTTCAAAGAAATAGTTCACTTAAAACAGGAAGTGTTCTCATTATTTACTCGCCCTCGTGTTGCATCAAACTGAATGACTTTCTTCTGTAGAACACAAAATGAGATGTTCGGAAGAATGTTCATGCTGCTCATTTCCAGACATCGGAAACATTATGGAAAGAGATCAAAAGTAGTCCAAACAGTTAAAGCATTATATTCCAAGTCTTCTGAAGTCATATGGCAGCTTTATATGCTCCAGTTGAAATCATTATTTATTAAAATCATCATGTTATGAGACACATGACCACTGCCGATGATCGCAGACCTGGTGCACATTAACACATTATTTGAATTATGTGCAAACTGAGAGTTACTGCTGATACTTCCATGGTGCTTTTTTTAATTCACTTTCAATATGCTGAAAAAAAAAGCAGCATGAAAGCAGTGTGATTTTTGGAACAGCATGACATTGAGTTTGGACCTAATGATGACAGTTTTTATTTTCAAGTGAACTGTTCCTGTAGGCTACCAAGTTGTGCGGACCTTAAACTCTGCTGCTCTTTGAAGAAATAGACACAGCCGTTTTAAAAAACGGATTTAGTGTCTTTAAAGGGATAGTTCACCTTCCGTTGCTGGTCCCCATTGACTTCCATAGTATGGAAAAAAACACTATGCAAATCAATGGGGACGAGCAACTGAAGGTGAACTGTCCCTTTAACAGTGTGTATCCTATTCAACAGGGCTTAGACTTCTCACTTTACTACAGTGGCACTTTTGTAAAACATTTAAGCCTAAACAAATAATCCAATAGCCTTGCAGGGTCTTTATTTTCAGACGTCCTGCCCACTGCTGAGAGACGCCTCTCCTCGAGCCTGTCAAACGGGGCTGTGATGTTCAGCAGAGCTTTTTCACCGCTTTCCCAAATGACACTACCATTTATTAAGTGTCAGAGGAGCTTTTTTTTGTGTGTTTGGAATCCATCTGTTTCTGAACTTTTTTTTTGTGTGTGTTGCTGAAACGCCGAAATGAAGGATCAGACGAGGTTTTGTTGCCCCTCGGAGTGATTCCTGAATGGTTTCATCATCAAACGTCTCATGTTTCACTTAAAAAGCAACAACAACAACAGCCGTATTAAAAGATTTCAATCTGAATATTATGAAAGCTCCCTTGTTTTCCCACAGATTTTCTGGTCATGCATTTAATATCAGAGTAAATTTTGTCAAAGCTGTTTGTGCAATAAATGAACCGAACATGTCAGAACATTTTAGATCTTATGTCCTGTCATTATTGCAAATGTCATATTAAGTTTATTTTTCTGTCTGTCCAATCAGAGCTCTTGTCTGAAAAGCACACTTTCTCTTCATGATCGCTTCATAGTCTGAAAAGCTCACATTTTCCAGTATGCGTAGTATGCATGCAGTCCCCCAACACAGTGCACTCAGCCTGATCTTTCATTTCCAGGGTGACGAATGTTCCAGAAAACCAGACTTGTAACATCTTTCTTGATCGATTATTTGCTGCCCAACACTTATGTTTTATGCACAAAATTAGTTTAAAAATGCAAAATAATATTGCTTCTGAGATGACAAAAATGTATACTGCAAATGTATTTAATATTTTGCATACTCCTCTTTTTTTTTTACTTATTATCTGTATTGTTTATATTATTAAACAGTAAGGTGTAAGGAGGACATTTAACATATAGTGAAATAATAAACATTAAATACACAATATTTATTAAAAAGTTATTCAACTAAAATATTAATATTCCACCAGCAAATATAGTCCCTCTAGATAGATATAGTCATAATTGTTACTATATTGTGTCGACCAATCAGCATCCAGGATCTGTACATAGTTGGTATGGAATACTGTGCATAAAGTAATACTCCTTAGAATGCCTTAAAATGATTTAAAATAAAGTTCTACAAATTTAAGGTCTTTCATATTTTCATTCACTCCTCCAACAAACTTTTCTTTGAAGAACCAGGGTTCAGACAGCCTTGTAAAACGTATATGAGGTAGATACAGTAGATATATATATATATATATATATATATATATATATAAAATATATAACGTGTGTGTGTGTATGTTTATATATATATATATATATATTGCGACCTGTACAGCCGTGCTACGTAGAGTACGCAGTTTGCGTAGGGCACTAAAAAACTTTCCATCCTAATTTTAGTATTAAACACAACAAAACCGTTATACTTAAAATATGTAATCATACATGTTAAAATACGCATTTTACGATGAACGCGGTAAGCCCACGCCACCGCCTCATGTTGCACCTGCAAATGATCAGTTGATGGACAACCAACTTTCCGGGAAGAGACTAGGCTACAGTCTGGCGCTGAGATGCGAAAAAGACATAATATAACGCTCACGTGCAGCACTTTCAGGTATGTATTCAATCTGGTTAAACTTCATGTTTTTAGTTATCAAAGTTAACGAATGCGAAATTGCGACTACAAGGCGCAACAAAACAACAGCAAGAGAAGCTTAGTGTTTGGCGAATGAATCGTTTGATCAATTCGGTTCCTTTGAATCTCAAACCAGTACGCAAAGAGGTCTGAATGATTCAAACATTCGAATCACCAATCTGCTGCTGACGTCACGAGTATTTAGAACGCTTGTCGCAGGGATTGGCTTTAAACAAAGTCCTTATAAGGGTATTCTACAGTCTTTGCTTTAAATAAGGAGGGTCTCTTTTGGTGGGTTCGGCGTCAGGGTCACCTCGTGAAGCTGGAGGTAGGGCAACGCCTGCAAGGTGGGTGGGAAGCAGTGTTGCCAACTTAGCAAGTTTGTTGCTAAATTTAGCAACGTTTCAGACTATCCTAGCAACGTTTTCTTCCGAAAAGCACCTAGCAACAAATTTAGCTATTTTTAAAATGTATTTGGCAACTTTTAGCAACTTTTGATAAGTGACTCAAACGATAAAAAGGCACAATTTACCATTTAAATTACACAAAAGAGGAAACCAAAGATGCCTAGCAGTACACACATCACAGGAATTAAGCTATTTGCAATTGTTTAATTTAATAGTATTTAAAATGGTTATTTATATTTTAATATTATGAATTTATATCGTTACGAACAAATCTAAATGAACATATATAAAATATATGTTTTTGTTGAGATTTGACACAATTTTGCGTCGTGATTACGTAATGACATCATCACGCAATGACATCACAACATGATTTAGCAACTTTTAGCAACAAATCAACCTTCCTTTAGCAACTTCCCCTGAAAATTAGTTGTCAACACTGGTGGGAAGCAGGGGGCTTGAACTAAGACTGAACAATTTATAGCATGTTTACATTTTGGTTTAAATTTCTTTATATCTCAATATTAAAATGCGATGTAGCGTCAAATACGTGACATTCTAACAATGAACTGAAGTTTATAAATCCCCATTAACCTAGATGCACTCCGAGATTAAAGGTTCAATTGAAACGTTATGCAGAAGAACATTTTTAACAACACAAGGGTGCGTAAATAATGACAGATTTTAATTTTGGGGTGAACGCTAGTCCTCTAGGATGCCATTGATGTGCCCTTACTTAAAATGTAGGTAGGCCTACCTTGAAACTTAAGTAAATGTACTTAAGTAACTGATATTAAAAGTCCTTGTGTATTTTAATACCAATGAGATACTTTAAGAGTGCATTCCCATAAAGGTATCTTATGATTGTCTACTTTATACAACACTGATGACTGTAAAAGTCATGTCAATTCATCGGTTAAAAGAAGTAATTTACCTGAAGTTCTTAAAAACTTCCGTAAATCTGAAATTTAATTTTAATTGTAATTTTAAAATATTTAGTCACTTATTGTAATCTACGGATAACGTAAATCTAGTTTCTGTAAAAAGCCTTTGGGAGCGAATCATTGTCTAATGCGCACAAATGCATCCCACCACACGGTGTCACTGTTGAGTGGCATCCGTCTGGATTTGTTTTGAATACAATGTTGCTTCTAGGAGCCCCTGAGCACATTTCCGCTGTTACTCCTTATGTAACCCAGCTGATCACACCTGACTAATGAACTGAACTCATTTGTGCTTCATGGTCTGAATTATGTATGTCAGGTTAGTGAGACGTCTAAAATGAGCAGTACTGCAGGGCCGCTAGGAGCAGTTTCATCACCACCTCCACAGCCTCGCTGTCAGAATATATTTCTCTTTCATTTTCACCAGAGAGACTGTAGTGAACCCAACCAGCCAGCTCTGAGATGAATATCAACATTACAAACTGATTTGAAGCACACAAAAAAACTAAACAAAAAAAAATCCATTCATTGTAAAAAAAAAAAAAAATTCTCAAAGGTGTAAAGATTATTGAATTTTAACATGAAAATACAATTCCAGTCTTTTTACTTAAAAAATTCACGTTTCATTTATTGGGAAGTTTACTAGCAATTTCTGAGTGTTTAAAAAGTGGCGTAGAAACCAAAGGTCCTTGAGGGAATGCAATACTTGTGCAAGGCAACATGTATGTTTTGCGAGTGCCTGCAACATTTCTCTGGGAGCGCAATGCTTTTGCGAGAGAATGCGTGTTTTACGAGAGAACACATTTTCCTCCCATCTTGTTTTTTTTTTTTTTTTTCATCACCATGTCCTCTTTGGGGCTCTATAGTTTTCCTAATGTTTACGCAGAACATTTTTCAAACTACACACAATAAATTTCCAACTCATTATTACTAGCAGCACGTTTATTTGAATTGGACAGTTTACACTTCCAGAAATCATGCTTCAGGATTCTCAAGAAATCTCTGTCAGACAAAAGGAGAGTTGAACCAAGAGAACAAGACAATTCAAAAGAGCCTCATCACTTACATAATGCCTCAGAGAAGTGGTAATAACAAGAAGCAATCCCCCAAGAAATCATTGGGAATAATGTAAGACATTCTGAATAATGCAGTTACACAATATGAAACTATTCCTCCCCTCTGCGATGCAACAGCTGCTTCCATGCAGGTACATTAAATCAAGTACTGAATAATGAATTATTACAGGTAACCGTTCATCCCTGAAGCAGACACTTCTTCATGCAATTACATTTTACTCTTTATCAATTGACATTTTATCTTTGTTAATTTCCCAAGAGCAGGTGGACTTTTAGCACAAGGAGGCTTTCAAACCACAACACAGTTATCAAAGTGCAGTCACGTATCAAATAAACCAGAGGCCACTTCAGGACACAAAGGAGCGTGGGACAGGGGAGAGAAACGAAATGTCTGATCTGAGTGAATGTAATAGCTGCCCTCAAAGCTTTAGACGTTTTCCTGAATGGAGGAAGACGTTCTGTAGAGGAGCCGTGTTCAACCGTCCTGTGACCTCTGACCTGACTCAACCTGGAAGTGCAGATTTGATCATAGTACATGTTTGATCACAGTAGATGGATGAACGCAACTAAAAAAAACTGTGTGCACTTATATAAATTTAGCTCTGTACAGCCAGTCCATCCCTGACGGAAAAAAAAAGAGATGCATAAAACAGCCCCTGATATCATTCACCACCCTTCCCATCAGCCAACAGGGTTTATTTTTACAAAATTTATAAAAAATAAAAAATAAAAACACCAGATAATAACCATTTATCATTATTAAGAGAGAATGAGAATTACAAACAAAATCAAAAGTAAATCCTTTGGATACATTGCGGTTTTGAGAATTTGGACAGAAAATCTTTAAAGGGATAGTTCACCCATACTAGTTTAGTATGTATAGCATACATAGTTTACTCACTCTCAAGCCATCCTAGGCGTATATGACTTTCTTCTTTCAGACGAGAAAGAAGAGAGAGTGGTGTCCAGCGGATGACGTAGGCGTAGCGTAAGCTCCGCTGAGAATATGCTAGTCTCGCGAGAACTAAGTTTTGTTTACAGCAAAGGAAACTCAGTCTCCTCTTGGCTTATATCGAAATCCTCCGACATTTTTCTTTACAAATCCTCATTTTGTACTACTAATTCATGATCAGTGTTTTGTTTCGCTCTCTCCTCTGCGCTTCTGCGTTCGTCACTTCTCACTGGAGCTTACGCTACGCCTACGTCATCCGCTGGAACACCAGTATCTCGTGAACGCGTGTACATCAGTTAGCGGAAGCTAGAGATTACGGTTTAAAAAGTTTTAAATATGGATATTTTTCTTACACAAATGCATCACTTCACTTCAGGAGGCCTTTATTAACCCACCGGAGCCGTGTGGAGCACTTTTTATGACGGATGGATGCACTTTATTGGACTTCAAAATCTCAACACCCATTCACTGCCATTATAAAGCTTGGAAGAGCCAGAACATTTTTAAAATATAACTCTGATTGTATTCATCTGAAAGAAGAAAGCCATATACACCTAGGATGGCTTGAGGGTGAATAAATCATGGGGTCATTTTCATTTTTGAGTGAACTATCCCTTTAAAGTCCTAAATGATCCTTTATGCAAAATATAGGTGACTTTATTTTTTTTGTTTCCTTTTAGGCTGACCTTGACAAGTTTTTTGAGATTTAGCCAACTGATAGAGAGGATGAGAGTTTCCCTACAATGAGATTCTGGATGGAAAATATGTGTATTTTTACTTAGTAAAGGCACATACATGTCTCAGATTACGCTGACAATTTCACAAGAACTCGCATGAAACAAAAAAAGAGAAGGTGGCTGTCAAAAGCAATCTGAAGATAGAAATAGGCCCAAATGGAACCTGCAGACATTTTCTACACTTATTTTATGGGATAATCTGTTGAAGAGAGTAATGCACTTCTGTAGTGTCTGAAAACATGATCAAATTAGCCAAAATATTTAATAACCAAACATGTGAGGGGACAGAAGGTTATATTTTTTTTTAAATAAATGTTACAAAGCTACAACTCTGAATTTCTGGGTTACTACATCAAGTATTTCCTTTAATCATTTTTGAAATGGTTATCAGGAGTCGGCCAGTCAGAATTATTACAAACTTTATCATTAGGAAATATAATTTACATGAGGAGAGGCATCACATTTATATTCAAAAAGTAATTAATAAGTAATTAAAACTACATGGAACCTAAACTATTGCGGTGAACTACTTAGAATGTGTGGATTCAGTCATTCAGTCTGTTTCCTAAAGAAAGCTGTTGTATGACTTCGCACAAATCATATAAATGACTTTTATGGTACTTTTAGGGCTTTGGAGTCCTTTTGAAGCTAGAAGCATTAGACCTGTGGTGCGTTTTCCCGAATGGCGACATAATTCACTGCTTAACTACCATAGAGAGCATTGTTGGAGAAACAAACTAATTATTCGCAACTGTTTCCCAAAAAAGTAGGAAGTTTGCTGCACATTCATCATTTGAACCATGTTGGTTAATGACGTCAAGCAGGTAGTAGTCTCGCGTAGCCAGACCTTCAGACTGACGGCTGAAGGTCTGGAATTCATGGCAGCTTTCATTGGCCAAGGCCCGCCCATGAGGACGTTTGACTGACATGTCAAACAACCAATCACAGTTCGTTTCGTTCGTCGTCACGTTTTGGGGCGTGGAAATGTCGCCACAATAACAGACCGGTGTGTAAAACTCTCGGATGTATTTGAAAGATTCTGTGCCGTGAACTTACAATTTTTCACATACTTTTGAAAATCCAGCATTTAGTTGATCCTGATAAGCGCTCGTCGTCACAGTGGTAAACACGACGGCTTTCTTCTTTCGTAAGGGGGGGTTTGGCGTCACCGCATCTTTGTTTCCAGACGGAACGTTACAGAAAGTGACACACACGTCTCCCGGAAATCCTGTAGAATTCAACCAATCCGATGACGACTTCGAAACTCCTGAAGTGTTTCCACTTTTGTGTGACATATGCATCATCTGTGTTTAAATTAATTCCCGCCCAAAAGGATTTTCTGCAGTTATCGCTTTACTATGCACATGGTAGACCTTCGCGTTTTGAATGGCCATGCTATTAAAATGTATATAATTCATGTTATTATTTGCCAGCATGGACAACGACTGTCATGGATGTTTTGCAGCACAAAATCTGACTGAATGGATAAACGATGGAAAATAACGGTAATTTTCATTTGTTAGGCTATTTTATCTAAAGCTTGTTAGAGGTAGAATTCTTTAGTGAAATAAAGTAGCGCCAATATAATATTTATTGTAATGAATTCGAGAGAGAGTGAGAAAACGTGCGAGCGAGTGAGTGTGAAGCTTGCAAACTAGCTGCAAACTAACGTGTCGCCCTCGCATTGTGAGTTCTGCGGGGAATCAGATATGTGTGTTTAGACGTAGGTCGGATGTCCAGATATCGGATATGTATCTGATTTAAAACCACATTTGGAAGTGGCTCAGATCGGATGCGAAAAAATCAGATCTCGTGCGGACGTTTGTGTTTACACGCGTGCAACAAATTCCGATCTGTGTCAGATGTGAGCAAAAAAATCTGCCTTTGCGAAGCTTTTTGCGAATGTTCATTGGAACTATGGATTTGGGAAACACCAAATTGTTGAACTATGTTGGTAATGACAGAACTTGCAACAATAGTTGGCTATGATTTTGGGAATCGCACCCCAGTACAAATCTTCAGAATAACTTTGTTTGTGTCATGAACAACACAAGTGTGAATAAATGAATAAAAACACATTGCTTTGTGATGTGAAACTGGCCCAAGACATGAGGGAACATCCATGATGCATGCAGTATGAACAAGAGAGTAGAGTGATGTTGAGGACGGGCTGCATGCATTATCATAGGGGTTTTACCAAGGCACAGAGTACACCGCTGGAGTGGATTTGCATTGCAAGCATTGCCAAGAGCCCCACGGCTCCACGAACCCCTGATCCTGGAATAAATACATCAGCTAAAACAACAAAGGCAAAACAGAGAGTCAAATCCTGCATTAGTAATTTCTTCACATGACATACGCACAGTACAGAACTGAGCTCCAGTGCTCAAGATATGCGTTCATTCAACAAGATCAAAGCTACAAAGGGAAAAATACGCTATGATACCTTTCAAAAAGCAGCAATCCTCCTTAAACAGTCCCTGCTGAGAGTAGCTTACACGCACAATAGAGTCTTTATGTTAGCATGCTAGCCCTAAAGTAGCTAATTCAGCCATTTAGCTTCTGGGCGTAAACACATCCCTAAGGTTCTCCGTTGCTAGCTAAACGTGCAGTCTTTGCACTGTGGAGACGGATGCAAACTCGGTCGCAGTTGCCTGAAGTGCTCACAGATAGAGCAAATGCCCGATAGAGGGCGCTAGTGAGGTAATGGCTGCTGGTCTGAAGCGTGCAGCAGAGGTCAAAACTCCTTCCGTCTGCATTGCTGCGGGTCAGAGAGAGTCGCTGGGGCCTGCGCAGCTGCAGCTGGTTGCCGTGGCGTCTGCGTTACGTGGACTGCCAGGACCGGTGGTTTCCTGGCTGCGCTGGTGTCTGTGGTGTAGCTCTTCCCATTTGGCACGATTGGCCTTGATCAAGTCAATCATTGGCTGTAGTTTGGGGTTTAATTTGGCAAATGTCTGAAAAGGAGGAGAGAAAGAGTTGATTTATGTAAACCTAATATGCACCAAAATTGTGGACGCGCAACCTTTGACAACAACGTAAGATAGTAAGAAGTTTTTCTTCACCCTTTTAAAAGTCGATTTGTCTATTCGTTTTGATACACAAACAACAGTAAAAAAAATATACACATGTAGTGTACTCCAAATCTTAAAAGTATATTAAAAACTGCTTGCAGATAAAATATTAATGAAATAAAACACCACTTAAGTTTGCGTAAAGAGAGAAACGTTCATGATTGTTTCTTAACTTGCACTTTTAAAAACTCCACTTTGTAATAATGTAAAATAAAAAGCTGTACTTTAAAGTACATTTTAAATTATTTATTTTCTAAATCTTTTGTCATGCTTTAAAGGCAGAGTGAGTGATTTCTGGTAGCCAATGTTGATATTTAGAAGTATATTTATTTTGATGTATTGACTAACATACTAACGCACACGTAAAGTACTTGATCATAATTTTAACTGTAGTGTGCTATTCAATATTACATTTAAAGTTAATATATTTTAAATGTACTAAATTGCAGCTTCAACATTACAAATATGAAATTACAAATACATGACATACAAGTTTAGACTAAAATAACCAAGTATATTTTAGTTGACTATACATTCTTGTCAGTACATTCACTTTGACCATATTTCAAAGACAATAGAAGTAATTATGAATTTACATATAACAATGTACTTAAGTGTTCTACTTAAGTGGGTTCAGCTAACTGCATTTTACATAAATGTAAACAAATACATTTTAATTTAACTGCAATTTAACATGCAATTAAGTGTCTGAAAATATCACTGTGCATTCAGTTTGTATATTCTTTTAAAGCATATTATTTATTTTCATAATCAGTACTTGTTTTAATGCTTAAGTGTAGGCTACTACTTTTAACAAGGGAAATATGCACAACTATATTCAGAACCCTCTTATTAAGGTTAAGGATTTTTACTAGAATGTGAAGGGAAAAAAAGGCGACTGTATTCACTAGAAATTAACATTCAAACAGGAAGAGACAGATTCTTGTGATTCTTTCTCATTTCACTGTTCGGGAACATCACACATTTTTAGTTCACTCTAAAGCATTAAAGTGAGGAATGACTGCACATGAATAAATTAGCTGTTGTTTGTTTGAGTCGCTCAGTGATACAACTGTCATAATGCTGCCATGTGCTGGAAGAACACTCTTCATGCTTCAGGGAAGTGTTTGGATGAATTATCTGTTGCTACACACAGAAAATCTGACCATCAATCGCCAGCTCAGGGGTCCACAGCAATGCTGCGGGGAACCGCCAATTATTGTTTGATCTGAAATTTAAAATTATATTATTAATTAAATAAAAATAAAACTGCTGAAAAAATGGTTTATCCGGTTTTAGAACTTCTAGAATCAGGTATTGGGGGTAAAACATACAATATTATAAAAACAATGTATTCAAACAATCAATGCGCAATTAAAATTGGATATAAACAAACGTTTCTTCACTCAAGGGCGGGGTGTGAGGCAGGGCTTCCCACTATCACGACCCTCTTCAATATCTGCATTAAAGGGGTCATATGACGTTGCTAAAAAGAACATTATGTTGTGTATTTGGTGTAATGCAATGTGTTTATGCGGTTTAAGGTTAAAAAAACACACTATTTTCCACATACTGTACATTATTGTTTCTCCTCTATGCCCCGCCTTTCTGAAACGCCTTTCGATTTTTACAAAGCTCATCGGTCTGAAAAGCAAGGTGTGCTCTGATTGGCCA